CGAGCGCGCTACCACTTAAGCCACATCCCCAGCCCCGAAAGTAATGATCTTCAAGGAGGTCAAAAGTGCAAGGAAAGTAGTGCAGGCTGACTGGGCAAGTGTACAGGAATAYAGTATTATGCAAAACGTGGGTGCCACCCACCTCTGGTCCGCCTGTCCTATTTTAACTTTCTCTAACCACCTGCTGATCATTCTTCAAACAGGTGATCTCTTTACACTACTGCAGTGTGGCACAGGGCTGTGTCCTACACACAAATGGTTCTCACCTAACTTCTCAATGGACAAAGTACTCAGCACAAAATTCATCAAATAACCTGTGGGCACTTTCCTCTGCTCTGGGCAGTAATTCATTTCTTTTTTGCGGTACTGGAGACTGAACCCAGGGCCATCCTATCACTGAGCTACATCCCAAGCTCTTTCCRTTTTTTGAGACAGGGTCTTACTAGGTTGCCCAGGCTGGTCTTAAACTTGCGATCCTCTGCCTCACTCTCCCRAGTGTCTGGTATTACAGGTATGCACCAGTGCACATAGCCAGTTATTCCCTCTTTGCTATTTTGTATGAACCCCCCCTCATAAGTCAAAAGCAAACTACACTGTGTTATAATTATTTCTGTACAAAACTCATTCTGCCCGCAGCATGAGTCCTTCCTCTGACTTTCATGGTGCCTGGTACATACTGATTGCTCAATCGACACTTAAGTAAGGTTTACAGAAAAGCATGAAGTGCCAATCCAATCTCCCTGTGCAGGCCTAAAGATGATTATCTCTGTCAAAGAAGCAGATGGCAGTGAGGAGCTACGGGGCTGTTTTTTCTTGGTTGAGCACACTACGATTCACAGCCTGTCAGCTCATCTCTCCTCGATCATTTTCCTCATCTACACATAGCTAACTGTCCCCTTCATTGTCCTCTGCACTTTCTGTAAACCTCAGCCCAGATGGCCCTCTGACCTTCCTAGCTCTGTTCTTACACCAGCAAGCCACAGGCTCCGGTCATTATCTGTCTCCTCCTCGCCACTGCTGCACTTCCTTAAAGTCTCAACATGGGAACTCTGCGCAAAGAACACATTTCCTCAGATACCTTCTGTTCTCCTCGTTAAACTCAGTAATGGCCTCAAGGTCAGAGCACTTATGAAGGCACTTCTGAGACACTTCTCTTTCAAAGCCAATGCCATGAAATCATGGACACACTTATTTTTTCTGAGAAGGTTTAAAATTAACAATCCTGAAGATCAGGTTTCATATCCCTGATTATGCTTCTCTAACAGTCCACAAACCAACTGCTGAATTCCACCTGAAATGAACTGGCAAAATAAAACCAAAAACTGTTTAAGGCTACGATTATGCTGCCAACTGACTGTTTTTCACTACATATTCTTTGTGGCTTTGGGTGCTTCTGAGGTTGGCGTATGACAAGCACATGCCTGCTCAATCACTCTTCCCTGCTCTAAATGCCCCTCTCCCAAGTTCAAAAACCCAGAACTGGCTGCAGGATACTACTCCAGGTAACTAAAAATAAATCACAAAGACCACAACTAGATGATTCTCTACTAGAGTTCAGTGAACAAACTACTCTAAAGCCAATTTCTTGAGTCTGTTTTAGTCCAGAATGCTAGAACACTAAAGTCTCAAAGTCTTTTACCCTTTGGGATCAAGAAGGTCTCGAACTTTTTCATTATAAATTTCCATGTAGGACACTTCTACTTTAAAACTCTGCTCCTCATTTTCCTCTTTCTGGGTTCGTTCAAAGAGTCCACTGCAGAGTCTTGGGATTAATCCAGGCTGGTCCACTGTGCCCATCATAGTGTAAGATTTTCCAGATCCTGCAAAAGGAAAATCAGAGTTACTACTGTCTCTGAGAAGTTTAAACACATAATAACCCTCTTTACTTTGCTCATGATAAACTGCCAGCACTTAGTAAAATGTCCAAAATACAAGAAGAAATGTATCCAAATATAATAAAAATTTAAAAAAATACAGAAGCTTTCCCATTGCAAATGTTACAGTCAAAAGGAAACATGCTTTAGAAAGAAAAAAAAAAAGCCTATTTTCCTCATCTTCACATTAAAAAAAAAATACCTAGAACAATTAAAAAACAGCAAGGATTGAAAAGTTTCCTCAAATAAACTGGGATAAGCCACATGATTAATACTATTATGCCTACCCCCAGCCACAAATCATAGCACTAAAAATATAGGTTCTCCACATGGCCCCAGAACAAATTAACTTACTACCCTCTGATAATAGTGCATGAACCAAAGAAAAATCCTTTTCTAATACAAAATTATTTTCTCTACTATAATAGAAATGCATGTTCATTAAAGAAAATTCAGAAAACACGGGAAAATAGAAAGGAAAAAAAATAAATCACCATAGTCTCATCATCCCCAAACAGCAATAACACTCAAGTGTAACTCCTTCCTCTTTTATAGTAGAAGTGATTTTGCAAACAAACTTTTTGTTTCCTTTGTTTTTGCAGTGCTGGGAATGGAATCCAGGGCCTCACACCTCCTAGGCAAGTGCTCCACCAGCCCTGCAAACAGGCTCTCCAACCATGCAAGGTACTGCTGCTGTCCACTTGAGACCCCATCCTTTCATAATACCTAAAACTAAGGTACCACTTCCTACATACCAGGTCTCTTTTAAAGTRTGCATATGGTGGGGCTGGGGTGGTGGCTCAGTAGCAGAGCGCTTACCTCACACATGTGAGGCACTGGGTTCAATCTTCAGCACCACATAAAAATAAACAAAATAAAGATATTATGTCCATCTATAACTAAAAAAAATTTTAAAAGTGTGTGTATGGTAATTAATTCATCACAACAACCCTACAATAAAGTTCTATCATTATCAACATGTTACAGATAAGGAAACTGTAGGGCCAAGAGTCCCAGTGGGCAGGCAGCGGGGGAAAAATGGAGCTGGCACAGCCTGGCTTGGAGTCTCTGCTCTATGAACCATTCCACACACTGGAAGAAGAGTTTCCAGTTGGACAATAATAATGACAAGTTATATGATATATCTTATAAAAGTAACTGGTTTACTTTAAGTAGATTTTGTTTCCTTGACCACAAAGACAGAGAAGTCAAAAAGTTCCTTATCAATTATAACCATATTAACATATTAACAAGTATGTTCTTTTTAGTATTTTTTCTATAATTATCCTTAGAGCCTACAATATATGACTAGTAATATGTAGAATAGTCATAATTCTGTAATTTATTGGAAACAAACTGGACCAGTACCATGTGACAAGATTAGTAAAGAAAAAGGATACTAATCCTAATTTTATTATACTCATTTTTAAAAAACTATATTTGATTTTAGCATCTATAGTACTTCCTAAAAAGAAAAACAACAAAAAATAAATCAACAGTATATTACTCAGTAAACATGGTTCTATTTTCTCTTCCGTTGAAAGAAATTTGCTCATGTGATCTCAATAGTATTTAACATTACCTGTCTGTCCATAGGCAAAGATGCATGCATTGTAGCCATCAAAAGCATTCTGAAGGATATTTTCTCCAAGGCACTTGAAAACATCATCTTGACCTGAGACAGGGCGAGAAGGGGTGTTTTAAGTCAAATCAAAACACAAACAAAAATCTCAAAATACACCATCAGCTTATTTATCTCCAAACAGGAGCTTTAAACTTGATAAATGCTTCCAAAGGCTTATGCCTGTCAARTTATTTGTAGTTAGCACATGAGGGGAAATTAGTATAGCATTTCCTATAATACATACTTGAATTAAAAGGGAAAAAACACCAAGGAGGTCCCTTAGGGCAAAGAGCCAATGAGCCACTTATTTTACAATCAATGATCAGGAATACCTGCACTTTATATCCAGAACCTAGGAATACCTGTATTAACTATGTAGTACTCAGTCAGAACTTTTATACAATGGGTTAGGGAATTCAGAAAAATTCCATGTRCCATTCTCCTCTTTTTCCTCAATGATAATTTCTAATTACAGGATCTACAGTTCACAACAATTAGAACAAGRAGGAAGACCCTGGAAATTTTCTTCAGCTTTCAATTATAGACTTAAGTAATATATTGAGTCAAGTTCTCTACCACAGGCCAAAAGAGATGTGTCAATAATCAATAATCAAATATGAACCTTACAAGCCATCCACCTCACTGAGTCTCAAATATAAGAGGRAGAACTGGATGCTGCTGTTGGGCAAAGGCATTCCATGATTCCATTACGCCCACTTCCTAGTTCATCTGCCAGTTAATTATCCTAGCTTGAATTTGAGGTGATCCTTAAAGTTGTCATTGGGCTGGAAGACCAAACATACTTCAACTTTTAAAACGTCCACAGTAGAAACCAATAAAATGTGATGTTCAATATTTAAAAGGGAAACGAAATATGGCAGTGCATGCTGTGGCTCCAGTTACCCAGGAGACTGAGACTGGAGGATCACTTGAACCCAGGAGTTCAAAGCCAATTTATAAAACAAAAAAGACTGTCCAAAAAAAGTAAAATATAAATTAAAAGATACTGCTTGGAAACAGGGGACAGAGCAGTTAGGAATACATGGATTTTTTTTTTAATTTTATTGATTTTATTTTTTAAATACATGACAGCGGAATGCGTTACAATTCTTATTACACATGGAGTACAATTTTTCATATCTTTGTATATAGAGTATGTTCACACCAATTCATGCCTTTATACATGTACTTTGTTTTTTTGCATTATAATTCTTATTACACATATATACCATAACTTTTCATATCTGTTTATATATAAAGTATGTTGACACCCAATTCAAGTCTTCATACATGTACTTTGGATAATGATGTCCATCACATTCCCCTGCCCTTGTTAATCCCCTGCCTCCTCCCTTTGCCTCCCACCCCTCTGCCCTATCTAGAATTCATCTATTCCTCCCATGTTCCCCCTCCCTACCTGACTATGAGTCAGTCTCGTTACATCAGAGAAAACATTTGACATTTGTTTTTTGGGGGATTGGCTAACTTTACTTAGCATTATCTGCTCCAATGCCATCCATTTACCTGCAAATGCCATGATTTTATTCTCTTTTAATGCTGAATAAAATTCCATTGTGTATATATGCCACATTTTTTTTATCCATTCATCACTGAAGGGCATCTAGGTTGGCTCCACAGTTTAGCTATTGTGAATTGTGCTGCTATAAACATTGATGTGACTGAAGAATACAAGGAATTTTTAAAAGGCTATCACTGTAGCCTTCATCTTGTGGCAAATGATGAGACAGTAATTTAGGAGAGTGATAAAATAGACTTTCAGGTCAAAAATAAAATGTGGAGGAATGTGGCACATTCCTCTCCACTACAGAGAGAAAACAGGCTCCAAAGGTGCCATGATTTACTGAACATCACAGGGGTGCAGAGGAGCAGAGCCTGGATGCTGGTCACCAGCGTGCTTCTTTCCTCCCACCAGCAGCCTCTCTAGACAACATCACTGACATCTCAAGGATACATCTACTGTGTGTTCCTGGTCCCATGTGAGACCTGGGGACATATGTGAGTCAACCTCCACTGGATACCATCATCTCAAACCAAGGACAGCAGACGGTAAATCTTTCAATTTTCCAATAAACATATAACCTCTCATAACAAATACTGGAAAAAGCTGTCTGTTTACTTCTTCATAATGAGATTAGAGATTTTTGTTTTCTTCTTATGCTTTTATAAGTTTTCCTTATTTGTACTTTTATAATGAGARAAAATGAATATTTTTTAAGATAATAGTTTTAAAGTCACACACAATTACACTACAATAGTATCTGGAGAATGTACCGAAACCCCTTTTCTGCACCAGTAGTAGTGGACAGGATGCTGTATTCTGTTACCTGCATACTTTTCTCGGACAGATTCATCCATGGACCAGAAACAATGATCATAAGCAAACACCTGTTGAAAAGTGAACACAATGTGTTTGTATTAAGACCAAAACTTTGACACTATGATGTTACAATAATGTCCTAATTTCAATSGAATTGCTCACTGTGTTTGTACAACAAAAACAACTTACTATTACACAACAGGATTAGTTATTTATATACAGTCTTACAATGACAACTACACACCCACGGGTCATCTAGCTCTATATTTCACATGGAAAACAATTCACAATATTAAATGAAAAAAACAAGTTTACAAAACAATATGAATAACATGATGGCTATCATACAAATATGTATGGTTACAAATATAAAGTTTACTTCTTCATAATGAGATTTGTGATTTTTGTTTTCTTCTTATGCTTTTATAAGTTTTCCTGATTTGTATTTTTATAATGAGAGAAAATGAAGATTTTTTTAAGATAATAAAATTTAAAGATGCTCACATAGCAAGTACAAAATAGTTATATAATAGGAGATAGTTTAAATAAATTATAATGCACCCCTGTTCAATATTACATAGGTTTAAAGATACAGAAGGGTTATTGACAAGAAAGTGATCATATTACTGAAAAAGTTATGGACATCTGGAATATTATTTCATATTTGTATAAAAACCTTTATGCATAAAGAGTAGGAATAATACATATTAAAATGCTATTTGGTTGGATAAAATAATTTCCATTTTGATATTTTGCCTTATCATTGCTTTCTAAAACATACACATAGTTCTTTTACAAGTTTTGTTTCACTAGTTTTGTCTTTCATTTTTTGGATTTCTAATGGCTTTATGTCCATTCATTTGTGTTTCATAACCTAGCCTGTTTAAGGATTTTAAGGTTCGCCTTGGTTCACCTYTCAAACTCCTCCGTTTGGAGTGCTGCTGTGCGTCCCTGGAGAAAGTGGCCTTTCTCCTGTGCTTCTACCTGTTAGTTTCGGGTGTGCCCTCACTGGGAGTGTCTGTTACAGTTTACACACTGCTGTCTTTTTCCTCTACTAAAGGTCCCTTCCCGTGGCCAGTTCATGTCACCATTTCTGCTATGGAAGCTCAGACTTCGGTCCTCCCAAGACCAGATGTCTCCACTCCCTCCTATCAACATGGGCATTGGCTCAATGTTGATGGCCGGCACTTTCTCAGCTTTWTAAAGCCTTCAATCACAGAGGAGCCTCTCCCAAATCAGTATTTGCACAGTGAACTTGACTCGGTCCTCCACCACACGCCAGGGCCCCACTGATTGGCAAGCGCTGACTTCAGTCAGATGAGGGCCTGTGTGATTCCAAAACCCAGAACACTGCCTTAGCTCCAGCTTACTGCTAGTTCTTGAAGTTACACRTGCTGTTTGTGAGTCTGATGACACAATTCTAATATTTTAAAATATTTTATCTGTTCCTGCTACACATTTTAGAGCTGGCAGGAACAGACTTTCTGTGTAACCTCACAAGGCTATGTGGACCAGATACTTAAAAGTCAAATTTCTTAAGAAAAGAAGTTAGATTAATACCAAAAATTGAGTATGCCTGCCAATATCCTGCCCCACTACAACCTAAAATCAACTCAAAATAAACAGGGAGGGAGTGGGGGAAAGGGCCCAAAGGGAGAAAAAAGGAGTCCAAGGTTTGGAAAGCCAGACCGATGCTTGTTCCTGGATCAGAAATGGGGAGCGGGGAAACTGCCATGAGACTGTCAGGGTGAGGRTGGGGATGAGGCCACCAGAAAACCAGGTTCAAAAAGAAAATGCAACAGAGGGAGGTGCCACCAAAGACATGGGCAGTTCTGCGAAGACCCRGGGGTCCAAACAAAATGGTAGGAGAGATAGGAGCATCACTCAAGAGAGTGACAGGTTAAACACCGCTGAACAAGCAGGGATCAGAACACCCAGGTCTTTGCGTGATAGCAGGCAGGTGAGGCGTGTGCCTCTAGGTGGGCAGAGGTGGCTGGGGATGCCAGAGAGGCAGAGCGAAGAAACATGGCTGAACCCCCAAGAAGAGGCAGGAAAGCTGGTGCCTGGAAGATCCCCACCAGGCCACAGTGTCACGGCACCTGTTGCCAACTCTGCCCTTTTCCTAAGGCTAAGCAGATGTCCTTCTCGTGGTTGTATCTATGTTAGCTATCCTGAAACAGAAGAGGAGCAAGAGGAAGACAGTCCCAAGGGACTGTGCATCAAAAGGTCCAGTGGGGGCTGCCTGTCAAACTCCATTTGTCACCCACAATGAGAATCATCACAGAGGTACGATTAAATACAGTGTGATGCTCAAATTAACTTTCTTCTGTTCTTGCTTTCAACTGTCATCCCTTGCAATTTTAATTCTGTTATTGCAAGCTTAGCTCTCTCTTCAGAAGTCCCATGTACATTTACCAGGGCTCAGATCCTCCAGGGCACTCCCCTCTGAACCCATCATTACTGGGTGTCTCCCTTACTTTTCGATTACAAATTTCTTATTTTATTTTTATTTTTTTGCTCTTTTTAGTTATACATGACAGTTGAATGTACTTTGACATATTATACATACATGGAGTATAACTTCTYATTCTTGTGGTTAGAGATTTCTTTAACCACTTCATTTCTTACTCCCAATTCCAATAGAGAAGCCATCACTAAAGTCCCCACAGCAATACCTGAGACTGTGTGCAGGCCCTGTTCAAARCAAACAAGGACAAAGGAGGCAAGCTGTAGCTGCCAGTAGACTGGCTCAAAAGTCCCTACCTCACACCACCAGGCTAGCCTAGGGTCGCCCCTGACCTGCCAGGGACAGGCTCCACACCACCCAGGTAGGCCTGAGCTTCAGGAAGTATCCAACTCTAGGCACACTATGCTTTTCATGAACAGACAGACCTAAATAAAGTTTAACTTATAAAGTAGGCACAGAAGAGATGAACAGTGATTAATAATAAAATAAAACTACTATGACAATATACTGCAATCAAAGTTATATGAATGGGGTGTCTCTGTTTCTCTTCTCTCTAAATATCTACTTCAATCTGCCAGAGTTTGCCTGGGGTAACTGAAATCACAGAAARAAAAACTGCAGACCAGTGGGGACTACTGTTATGGAAGGGCCACAGCTGGCACAAAGTTGGGGACCAATAAGCACCAAGTTCTTATTTACTAACAACACTAAACAATCCTTTTAAATTTTAGTAATTTTGTAATTATGGCTATMGTCCATAAAATAGACAAGTCCTTCTCTTTCTAAACAAACATTGTTCTTTTAAATTAAATTTTTTTTTCAATTAATAGAGAAGAAATAAACGTCTTCAGTAATAAGTTCAAATAACACCAAAGCATAAAGTAAAAAATAAAGGTCTCCCCATTTGCCAAGTACACCTCCTCTAGAAATAAATGCTGTGTTGACAATGTGGGTTTTTTTTAGCCCACACATTTTCATAAACTCTGAGACACAGTTGAATTAAATAAAACATRGACAGTTTTTAAATAGTCAAGAAACGTATTCCTCACATTTACTACAATCTCCAATCTCTGCTCCAACAAAATATAAAACAAAAATAACTCAGTACCCTCTACATAGGAAAGATGAGTAGGGCTTTACAAACACACAACCAGGGCCAGGTCCAACTATTTATTTAAGTCATCTGGAGTTTCAAACAACATGTCTATACATATTTTAGCAACCATAACAGAATGGAATTAGAATTCAACCACAGGCTCTAAAACAACAACAAATCCCAAGAATGTAGATCAGACTGAATTTCCTGGAAGTTTCAAGTAACTTCAGAGGATGGTCAACTTAAAAACATAGTACTTGTGCCACCTCAGCACATCTCTAAGTCCCCGGATGGCAGTAACTGACATGAAAAACACACACACACACACACACACACACACACACACACACACACAGCAAGAGTGCCTTAGAATCCAAGCTCAGATCCGGGATCTGAGCCGTGCCCTTGAGGAAGCTGGGGACCTGGGGGTTTCTGCTGGCCTGGCAATGCCTTCCCAGCCAGCTTAGATGCCAGGGGGATGAGTTGGCTCAGCACTGCATGACCAAGGTTTGGAACCATCCGTTCTCGCCAATCTGTGACACACAAGGAACCTGTGTGGCAGCTATGAGGAGACTGGGTGGCTGTCAGGGTGCAAACACCTTTCACAACCCCCACCACCACCACACACCAATAAGGCTTCAGGCTGTGAGGGGCTGGTGGCCTGTACTGCTTCTATAAACAGAAAAGGCCCATGTTTTCAGTTTGAGAAGAAAACCTGCAGTATTTCAAGACTATGCACATAAGACCTTCATAAGCATCACACAATGAGCCAAATGTCTTACCTTTGGCTGGCTCCTAGTTCCCCAAAGAAACGCCACCGTTGACATGGAAAAAAAAAAAAGGGGGAGAAGTGTTAAAAAAAAAATTAGCTCACAAAACTCTTTTTGGAAGGTAAAATAATAACAAACATGATATAAATTTGCAATAAGAAAACAAAATATTACCTTTGAAACCAAACAATAACGTGAAGGTAAATGAGTGTCAATTAGCTATTTAGGAGGGATGCTAATTCAGAAGATTAGCTTGGGGAAGAAAGACTATCTCAACACCGGATAATTCAAAAGCACTCGTCTTTTGCATTTCTGCTTATCCTGTTGTGTATTTCTTTTTAAAATTTTATYATTTTCTCTACTTTGGCAAAGCACAAGTTTACTCTCTCAACTGTCAGGTCCTTCTACAAAAAATGAGTTCTGTTCTGGCTAAGGAAAGAAGGTTAAAGGTTACTAATGTCTTGCCTGTGAGTTACTTTTGCGGAATTCCACACTACTTACTCCTTTTTAGTCCTCAGACAGTTCTACTCTCCCCTCTCTCCCTCCCTCTGAAACTGCCCCTGGCTTACATCTCCCCAAGGTACAGTGTGTAAATCCAACAAATCAGGAGACAGTTTCAAACTGAGAAAACTTGTGAGAAAGCAGAGAGAACTTCCATGGACTCCTCACCCAAATTTGCCTCCTGCTGAGGCTGTGAGGACACCACTCATCCTTCCCCTCCCTCCAAAGAGATAAAAACACACACACACACATTTTATTTCTGAACCACTTGACAGTAAGTTGCAGACATGACCTTCAGCCCTAAACACTTCAGTGTGCGATTCCTAAAAACAATGGCCACTTACTTAATCCTAGCCCAATATCCAAATCTTTAGACAATTTAGGAATAAAGCAAAGTATTTTTGATACTAGAGTATGATAGGAATAGTAATGATTTTTCCTATGCAGAGGATCAAAACTTTGAAACCTGAAAGCAAATTGCACATGCTTAAATGTCTCCTTCCAACAGTCTGCGCACCTCCTTGTCCCTCTGTCTCATAAGATTTCCTTCCAAAATTATTTGTACCCATGATTCCGGTAAGAACACTAAAACACCACAGCAAGACTAGCAAACAAAAGTGACATGCGTTTGACAGATCTGGGAGTGATATCCAATGTGGCTGACATATAAAAGAAAATAATTTCTCTGGAAAGAGATACAGAGAAGCTCCTGACAAAAAGAGTTATGAAATATGAGTAGAGGTTACTGACACGTGCTATCATCTCTGTACACATCTTATAAGCAAAGCAGTTCCTCTTCCACTGTGGACAGCCTAAAACCCAGCCGCAGGTAAGAAGAGAGCCCCAGGTCTGGAACACCAGGGCGGGCCTGGGCGTCCTGGCTCACAGCTTCATTCAGTCCTCAGGACTGGGCAAGGTGTCACTGTGAGTCCAGTGTTACAATTGACAAGCACACTAATGAGCAGCCATGGATCTGGTGCAAAACAAGGTCTCTGACGTCCAAGTCCATGGTCTTGCCCTGCCCACACTGGTCAAGACAACCTGGACTTGAGAACCTGAGTCACACATTAACAACTGCTCCTGCTATCAGAAACATTTCTCAGCATATTAATTTCCTTCATTTTAATTATTACCCAATACAAGGCTGTCACTTGGTACTGAGGCCAGTGTGCATTTGCTACTCACTAAATATTGTGTATGAAAACACCACACTGACTTTTCTGAGAACTAAAGAAGATATTTAGTATATTTCAAGCTTAAATCAAACATTTTAATATTTTAAAAAATAGCTCTCCCTAAAATACAAGAAACAACTATGGAATTCAACAATATATGACACACTGTAGAAAAATCAATGGGACTAACCTGAATTCAGGACAGCATAACATGTAAATTAATTACAGGGCTAAGTTTCCAAGTAGGATTCTGGTAGCTACAACAGTAAAGCTCAAATAACCCAGAAAGCCATGGGACACCCAAAGATGTAATTACAGCTCTGTGTACAAATAAATAAGTAAATTAATCAATTAAACAAAACCTCTCAAAGTGTAGTTGCAATTCGATACAGCCATGCCTCATTGATCCCAGGATCCCATATTTAGAAACCTCAGCTATCCTGATCACTGTGGAGATTCAGGAAGCAAAGAAAACCAGCTCCTGACCGAATAAAAGAGATGTCACAAACTGTGAGCGCCCCAGCCTCCATGGCTCAGCTGAGCCCAATTACTTTTGTTATTGCTTAACTTCATTTTGAAATATTTTCAGATTAAAAGTTCCAAAAATAGTGCAAAGAATTCCTGCACACCCTTTACCAAGGCACCCCAAATGTCATGTCTTCTATCATCAGTTACAATGACTGAAATGTGGAAGATAACCATTAACACCCCATTTATCCAAGCCTTGCCAACTGCCTGCATTAATATCCTTTTTTCTTTATATATATAAATTTTAATGTGTTTTTTTTTTTCCTGGTCCAAGATTACCCACTGCATGTAGTTGCCATTCTCCTCCAGTCAGGGTTATGGACACTTGAAGGTACCAGACACTTGTTTTATAGATTATTCACTCAGTGTCATAGACTGGGTTTGTCTAGTGCTTCCTTGTGACTAAATTCAGGCTGTGCACCTTGGCAAGCACAATACAAGTAACTGTACGGCCAGCACAGTGCTCCCTATGAAGCAGCAAATGACACCCATGTCTCATTAYTGACCAGGTTAATTCCCCTCACTTAGTCAGGGCTGTGACTACCAGGTTTCCCCCTGGTAACACAACCATTTTCTCCCTTTGTAATTTATACACATCTTGTGGGAAAAGACTTTAAGACTGTGTAACTAAACACCAGTATCTCACCAGATTTTCACCGAAACTTTTAACATCCACTTAGGATTTGTGCCTGCAACGGCAACTATCCCTGATGATACCTGCCYATCAGAGTGATGAACATGTTAACAGCACAGGAGGACTGACCTGAAGGATGTGCTTCGATGGCAGAGGACACAGCAGATGACCTGGCTGCATATTCTGGACAGGAGCTGTTACCTGGGAATAAGCTACTCTCTCATTGCTTTTTCCTAACCTGGTGCTTACTTCTCATTCAAATAATAACCCACATCATAAAAATAAGTCAAATTATGTTCCTAATCTCTAGAATGCCAAACTATGAAGAAGAAATTTAGTGATGACTTTATACAAGTTGATGATCTTTAGAAACATGTTATTCATGTTTCTGACCATGGAAAAAATAAAACTGTCTAAAAATAAAACACAGTGCCACGTATGAATAAAACAAAATAATGTCAGTAGAATGATGCAATGTAAATCAACAATTGCTGTCAACTATTGAAATCAAACATCGAATCTAAATACTACCATCATTTCATTTAATTCTAAAGATTTAAGTTGCTGAAATTTTCACAATTATAAATATTTGGAATGCTGTTATAACAACATTCCACTCTAACCATCTCTTTTTAAAAAAGGATGTGCATTACAAAGAGCTCATTCTAACACAGTCATACTATGTAATGACATTGTTCTTTTTCAGACTTAGCTGGCAGTACCAGCAACCAAACAACAATCTGTGTGTTCATTATTCTTCCTGTCACCCCCTCCCCATGTGCCTTCCACATAAGGAATAAAGCTGACCTGACTTAAAACTTTAGGCAGACTAGACTCATCATGGAAGCCTCTCAATCTCTGCTTCTTGAGACAACTCTCAGTCAGAAGTCACTATACAACCATCACTGAAAGACGATCCACTCTTTCCTCAACATCTAGAACATGCCATTCGGTTTTGAGGAATAAATGGTAGCAGCATTCTATTAGAATTCAGTAGGACCCACTTGGGAAAACAGTTTCAAGAATCAGGTCCTCAATAGTGGAATTATTTTAGGACATCTAAGCTAGACTTCGAGCCCTGCAGGGCGGTGCTTTTCACTCATCAGAGTCCAACAAAGGTTTCTGGCTGCTCAGCAGACAGTCCTCGACTCTTTAGGGGACCTGGTCTGGGCCTATGTCTCCAACCAAGCCTCGCATCAGTTTCCCCCCACACAGGCCTTCTTCTTGGCAGAATGTACCTGTTTCCCAGCTTCCATGCAGGACTTTCCTTCTACCTTGAACTCCTGAGGCCAACTCCTATTATTTTTCACTCCTCAACTTTCTTATTATTTCCAAACCTCTCTTATGTTACTCTCACAGTATTATGTGCAGAATAAAACCATTTTACCACCACCCATCCTTTCCCAAACACCCCAAAACCATAAAAAAATAAGAAACAAGTACAAACTCTATATTCAATGAAACAGAAATATTTATAACTAAAGAACATGAAAAAGACAGAAAATGCATCTATAAAACACACATAAAAAGTTTAAAAATCAGAAATGAAGGATGAAGAAAAAGGGAACTAAAATATGGGATGCTGTTTTCAATCAGTAAGTTAAATCCCACCTACCTCCTAGCCCCCTCAAAACGCTCAGGCCACTATCTCTGACAGACAATCCTTGGACAGACTTTTTAAAAACAAGATAGTTTGAAAACCCTCTTCTTCTGGAACCTTCCACCCACACAAACCACAAGTGTTTCAGAACAGAAGGACACAGAAGAACATGACTACTGAACCACAACTAGTATGTTTCACAATCATAGACTAGAAATATGAAAACCCCAACTTATAAATTCTGTAATTTAAAACTGTCATATAATGGGAGAACTAAATTCAAAATATACACTCACCACTAACTCATCACTCACAAATCACCTGCCTCTTCTCATCTGTCAAACACCAGCAGATAGAGTTTTAATTCATCATCCACTTTCATTATAAGAAAGGTTAAACCTGCCAGAGAATACTGATTTCAACTGTAGAACTTCTTATGAAATACAATGCATAGAGTGTACTATAGTATATATTACTATAGTAACCGAGTAATACACATTCATTTAAATAACTGTGCATTCAAATAACTGCAAGGGTATATGCACTCACTAGGATAGATTACTGAAACATTCTTAGACTTCAAGCAG